TTCGCGATTGTTACACATAGGAAATGAAACTATTTTTCCGGATTTTAATCGCGTATATTTGTTCACTCAAATATTCGCGATTTAAATCCCGAAAAACAGTTTCATTTTCTATGTGTAACAATCGCGAAAACCTAAGAACTCGATAAACATCAACTAGTTTTGTCTTCCATAACATTACACTGGGTAAATAACACCAGGGAATGTTTTTTTAAAGGCGCTTTAGTCGTACAAGTATTGGCAAAGTCCATTACGTACGATAGGCTAGATTTCCAGACGAACTAATTTTGCAGATACTCCCTCACAACGCAGTTCCACTGAGTCATTATTTGGCACATTAAGGCCATAAGGCACATCATCTACTTAGTTACGGTCGATATGTAGCGGGATTCTAAAGAACTAATTTCCTCTTGTCAACACGAAGAAAAAGTGAAAGTAAAGTAGTAACTTGACAATATTTGCTATTATTTACGAGTCAGACAAAGAATTGTCCCATTGTGGTATTGCCTTAAAACTTGCAAAGAGTTGCTCGGGTATCTCTTTAGTTCTTTTACCGATAATAGTATATGATGGTTCCAAATATTGCAGGCTAACTGATACCGCGCAAAGGTTCTTTACTTCATCCATTTGGGCCTTTGTTGGTGGGATCCGAGTGAAATTGCCTGAAAATTAGAAGTGATTTTGTCTCAATGCTTAAATTAAATGTATTCTGTTACTTTCTATTTTGACGGTGGCCAATTTTCTTTGGTTGGCTGGCACCGGTGTTGTTGCGAATATCAGCATCCGCAGAGAATCCCCGTTAATTAAAATATTCGCTTCCGTATTAGCCTCCGCATTCATCGATGCTGGAATTTAGTGCGGATATTTGCTTGGTTTTTGGCTTTGAAAAAAATTCCAGTATGTTTAAGCTAGACTGGTTTATTTTATATTAGGTTCAATGATAAACGTCACAAAATCAATAAAAAAGCTTTTCCATGTACATTCAATTACGATCTGTACATTATTCAAGATTTTTTAATATAGATGAAATCAGCATTCGTTGATGTGTAAATGCCTGCATTAGCAACAGTCGTGGTCGGCACCATATACATATTTAAAAGGTACTTTACAATTGTTCTAACAAAGTAGTTCGTCTGTTTTAAAGTGCTACATACCTATAAAACCTAAGACTAACGACGAGGCTGAGTACACAGGGAATAGATACGTCCGCCGACGCCAACCTAAAGCTTCGTATGTCTCCCCATTCGATGACACGACGAAATTGTATGGAAGTATTTTTTTCGTGCTGTTACTCTGAAAAAAAAAAAGGAAAAGGTAAGATAAGTTCAATACTTAATTACTTACAAATATCCCACAAATCCTAAAAACTAAGGCATTTAACCAGTGCGTTCTACAAGTCATGTCCTACGCATCCGAGACGTGGACATTAACAACAGGTCTCGTCCACAAATTCAAGGTCGCTCTGCGTGTGATGGAGCGAGTTATACTTGGGGTTTCTCTGATGGGACAGAATCCCTAACGTGTCGACGTAAAGTGCAGTGCAGGCAGTGGGCCGGGTATGTCTGCAGGAGGGTTGAACGCCGATGGAGCAGACTTGTTCTGGAATAGCGACAACGTAGTGTGGGACGCCTTGCGGCAAGATGGACGGACCAAGGTGAGCAAGGTGGCCGGTAGTGGCTGGATGCGGGCGCCACAAGACCGGGAAAGTTGGCGTGCTCTAGGGGAGGCTTATGTCCAGCAGAGGATGCGTGTACTGCCCTCGGAATGAAAAAAGGTACAACTGCTGTGTAAAGTAAGCATAGTTGTGCCTTTTTTCGTTACGAGGGCAGTGTAAGCTGATGATGATAAGGTAATTAATTATAAATTATTTTGGCATTTAAAAAAATTTTGTACTTGTTAATTATATGACATAATGTACAATATTCGGCGAATAAGCGTACCTAATGTTAACAGTTGGATCGTCGTTCGTATGTACTTATTTCGCAAATCAAAATATAAACAAGACGGTTCACAAGAAACATACTCTTTGTCAAGTAAACAATGTGCCATTGATAGGCCTAGATTAACGACGAACGACATTTATTTAAAAAAAAATCAAGAAACAAAGACAAGTTTTTACTTTATTAACACTTGCAACGCCTAGCGACCTCAACTTTATCTTTTCTGACTGAGTGGAAATGGCTTAAATAGTAAATATTTAGACGGTTTCCGTGTACGTCCAAATGTTTTCCTTTATTTTTGAAAAATATTAAAACAATAGGTACTTATTTGGTTTTTAATAATAATATACAGTTATGTTAAAAGGCTTCCTTTCAATTTTTGCATGAAGTGTTTACCTGTAATTAGCTGTGCATTAAATTTAAAACTACAAATCAATGTACCTAATAAATAAGCCTCAATGTAACAGTTGTTTGTAATAAAGATGTAATAGACGATAATGCAGTATCGTCATTAAGAGCCCTTCCCGGCTGAAGAGGATTTGGCACAAAAAATAACAAAAAAAAAATTTTTGTTAGCAAGAGCGACGTTTAATCAAAATTTTGAATTTAGAACAACCGCATACACATTCACAACGCAAGAATTGCAAGTAAATAAAGATAATTATTATCAATACATAAAGATCGAGGTTACTGCTGTAATATAATTCCGGTGACCATGATCGGAAAACTGATCCCTACATTGTTAACGACACGGTTTCACAACCTTCGCGATGTTCAACTGTTCAGTTCATTCTACAAATAAAAGGATTTACGATCGGCTTGTTATGACATTTTTAAAATAATTTTTTTTTTTCAGTTGACGTCTAATGTCACTCTAAGGGTCGTATTCCAGAACTCTACACAATGCTCAAGTCAGGATCTGAGTATGATTTCAAGCACTGGAAATACGACCCTAATGGCAGGGACTTGAGTATGATTTCGAATGCTTTAAACCATACTCAAATCCTGACTTGAGCATTGAGTAGAGTTCTAGAATACGACCCCAAGGCTGACATTATTTTATAAAACGAACTTTGACTTCGACTAAGCAAGAAATTACTGAGTAAACCCAATTTTATTTTATTTTTTAGTAGCAGTAGAGTTCCTTGTGAAAGAGTTCGTCCAGGGAAGTGACTGCCACCTTTCCTAATTTTGCCGCCTAGCAGTAATGTGGGCATTACAGCGTTTCGGTTTGTAGGGTAAGAGTGCTGGCGAAATAACATGCACATGGACCTTGAGACGAACAAGTCGTGTGTCTGGTCGAAAGCGACACGCCTGTCCATAAGAGTTGCAGTACCATTCAGAGCTTTAAATGGCAAAGATCTGAAGGCATTGCCACTGCGCCCGTCACTTTGAGGCATTAGTTGTCAAGCCCCATGTAATTTCATTGTAAATTCTGTAATTTCACTCGTGCACCCTTACCCTTCAAAACCACAGTAATGCTTACATTACTGCTTGGCGGCAGAAATAGGTAAGGTTGCAGTCACTTCCCTGGACGAACTCTTTCACAAGGAACTCTACTGCTACTAAAAAATAAACTAAATTTAAGTTTACGTTGGAATTTCTAGCTTAAACTTCGGCAAAGTACGTTTTTGTGAACTTGCTTAGCTCACCATCTTTGCTTAGTCGAATTCAAAAGTTCGATTCATAATATAATGTCAGCCTTAGTCTTAATTTTTTATAAATTATACAAAAATTTGGCAGTAACCTTTTGTAATCTCATCATTCGATGTAAAAATATAAACATAATTGGACGTAAAACGTATGTAAATAAACAAAGTTGAATAATAAATTAAAAAATAATGTGCCCTGCAAAACTAAAACTTAAGGATAAATAATTTTATGTACATATAAAACATGACGCATTAACTTCGCAATGACACAATTTGTGATGTGGCGACAATGGCCAACAATTAATCAACCTTACTTAAGTCGTAACCATGTCCCGTACGGGTCTCCCTGAAATGAACTCCCAATGCGAGTTGGTGAATTTCCACAGATGAGTGTGTTTATGTACTTCACTGACACGCAATTGTTTTTGAATCATCGTACAGTTGGCGATAAATAATAAAGATCGTCTTCTAAGGTTTCAGTACCGCCATTTCCCGACAGTAGGAAGTACAGTTGGTATATATAGCAGCTGGACAAGGCTAGAATTGACTATCTGTAAGATCTATCTCTTAAAATTATTGATATGTATAAATACTTGTAAAGTCTGCAAGAGAGCTGCGCAGGACTGCGTTGAGTGACAAGATTCGGTGTCAGTCTGCACGACGATAACGTGACGAGCTTTAGAGGGCGACATGGCAAGGAAGGGCCGCTTTGAGGTGTCCCATTGCGACCGGCTTACAAACTGCAGAGGCGAGGTCAATGGCGGGAGGATATTTTCTGGAAAATAATTTACATCCCATTTTAACACCAAGACTAATGTTATTCGATATATGAAGTGCACCAAGGCAGTATTCCAGGACCACTCGGATATTAGACCCATTCTTAATATCAATGACTAAGTCATTTGCACATTATGTAGCGTTATTCGCAGACGAGTGTACAGGCTGTTGTAATATTCAGGTATTATCTTTAATTATCTTTCATTTAATCAGTTTTTTACACTAATTTAAATATTTTATAAAAACTGATTGAATTTTGTCCTTGTGGACTAAACCCCGACTGGTTACACCGTTTTTGTTTCTGCTTGTTGTTTTATTGTACGCTAGACAATATATCTTCATAAGTGTTAATAGAATAATGTAATAATGGAAGATGTTTGATAAAAAATTTGGAATTGAGAAAACATGATTTGATTTTTTTTTAAACTGAATGAAACCAATCAATATATAAAATAATATATTATAAAATAAATACAGATTGGTTTCATTCGGTTTTTATTATATTATTCTCGTTTATAAATGTATAATTAAGTATTATGTGTAAATAAAAATAATCAAATTAATTGCATTAGATCGAGGGAGTGTAGGCTATCCAGCCTACTCTCCCTAGTTTGCTGAGCACAAAATTAAGAGACACGATCTAGTTATCGCTTTGAAACTACGTTCCGGATTGTTCGAAATGTGTTCATTGGAACAAAAGCCTCTTGAAAAAATAAAGATCCTAAAAAAATTTTTGCTGCATGTTGATTTTGACAAATTATCTAAAGCACCTTCAAACAAGTATAAATTTCCAAAAATATAATATATTCATATTATTTCTCATCAGAATATATTTCATTAATAAAGTGACTGCGAATTGGTAAGCGGACCTGTAGGCGGAAACAAAACCTGTCAATAAGAAATCATACACTTACCCGAATTATTCTGCACTATGAGTAAATAAACGCCAATGACGACTCCAGATATAAGTATGATCAGAAGTAAGCTGACGACAGCCGTAGTGAAATGGGTCGCTGTGTGGTGAACACCAGGAGGCAGCGGAGGGAACCTGCGCAAGAGCGGCGTGTCCTCTGTCGCTTGCGGCGTCTCATTATCCGTGTGGTGTGAGCTGTGACGCGATTCGTGATCTAGAAATTAATACTCTTCTTAAATAATCTGATCTCCCTACTCATAAGTGTTGTGAAAATTCCATGTCGTATAAAAGTGGATTTTAGTGTCGTAGTTGCCTAACAATAGCAGTAACAAAAATCACGTATTAGAACTATGCAAAACAAATTCTTGACTAATTTATAATAACCACCCGAAGCAACATTAATCACAAAAGTATTTATTAAAACAGATATTACAAGTATTCAGCGCAAATTCCATCATAATGATGGTTAACGGTTTTTTACGGCCACATATCGTTCCGAGTTAATACTTGCTACTAGGAGATTCACGAACGCACTGCGCCTGACCACATGTGATTGAAACTGATACCCATGTACTAGCGTGCCAACAAATTACTGAATAATAATATTTTCCAAATGTTTCATATGATTATGTTCATTGAAATGTTAATCAAAGGATACATTTCTGTTAGAAAAAAAATTATAATCGGCATTTTTTGCAACCCAGTCCAAGCTATAGGTAATGGATGGTGTACATAAAAATGTACACTAGCTCAAAATACTATTAGTAATGGATGGCGTCACACATTCTTAAATTCAAGTTTAATTCAAATTCAAAAAGTTTATTTCAGACATAGTCCATATCAGTGTTAGTTACAAAAACTACTTGTAACATCAATAAGAACATTAAGAATAACACTGTTTATACTTAGTTGTTACGTAAAGTTAAAATCTAATGTCATCTTGATAGTTACGACCATTAAGACCTTGTAGATTTTACAGAAGTTTATCTACGCGCGTACCAGGTCAAGCCGGGAACTGAGTAACGGGGGGCATCGAGACCCAATTAAACGCATTGCGACATTATCCACTTTAACTTTCATTTTTGTTCTTATCAGTAAACTGGGCAAGCAACGTGGTGGTATAATAGAGTCGGCAATAAATTGTATTGTACAATCACAAGTCTATCAAAAATATACGCAGACTTGCAGCAACTTAGATAAGTTCATTGTCCATTGCTGACGCATTGGATCGGACGCGGGAACTCCATTTGAGAATAAAGTGGGAGGATATTATTAACTACTAATACTTTATTTATGAGTACATTAATTGCTATAGTTATTCAATGCACTGTTGCCTGAGTGTATATTTTAGTCTTTCATTTAAAGGCGAGCACAATAACTTTGTTTCATTAAATGCACCAACAGTTTTATAAAAATGATTAATTTAATAATAAGAGTTCTTGCAATTTTGATATAAGTATATGGTAGTCTGAGAAAGAACACTTAGACTAAAATAAAGATTGTATACTCAAAACAAAATAAGGGCCACAGGTACTATTGCGTTTTATGTTGATATAACACTGATTTATGTTCACTCATGTTGACAAAACTGATTTCAATAAATGTCATTATGAGAATAACTGGTTAAGTTAATGATAACAAAAGGTGGAGGCAGTAATATTGTAGAGGGAGGGTTGAAAAAAAAATTGTATCCCGCATTGTCAAGTGGGTATATTTGTTAATTTATTTGATTTTGTTTCAGATCAATTCAACATGAGTTTATGGATTGTTATGGTTGTTTTTGGAATTTTATGTGTAAGCATGACAGATTTGGTAGCCCAGTGTCAAGGTTTATGGAGGAATTTGTTTGCAAGGCAAGACCGAGCTAATTTTACTAACTGAGAGTTCAATGTAACAATGCAAAGTCACATCGAACATGTTGTCATCCTTCATGTTATTCCACTTTCGCACCGAGTGTGTGACGGTTTCATCCTAAAGCAGGACAACAACACAAGGATAACGACCGCCAGGACTGACAGGACAACACAGCTTGGGTGACCATATCAGTCCTGCAGGAAGCCAAACGTTTGGGTTTTACCATGGGCATCCAATTGCCCGGACTAAAATCCAACACACCCAATATTAGCCAATTGAACTAATTAAAATTGTTGGGAGAAGATTCCAGAAGAAAATGTCAGACACCCTACTGAGAGCATGTTTAGGAGATCAAACAATGTGTTTTAAAAGAGGAAGAATGTCCAATATTAAACAAAGAAAAAAATTGTGTACACTTTGTGATTTTAGTCTTAATTTTTCTTGCAAATCATGATTATTCTGGAAATTTTAATTTATTCATTAACTATATCTTAAATCACATTAAAGTTAATGTGATTTAATGTAGAAATTGTTGTTTTATTAAATTTAAAAACCCCTGGCACAGCAATTAACACAAAAAGTATTTTTACCAAAAAAATAGTGGTGGCCCTTATTTTGTTTTGAATATTTCAAAATAAATATTTTCAATACAAGGTAGAAACTATTTTAGTAATGATGACGTCTTTATAAAGACACCAATTTTTTTACACGCTTTTGACATAAACATGTAGTGAATGTTGTTTTAAATGAAAATAAATCTCTTACTTCCTGCATAATGTTATATGGAAATATATAAATTTGGCCCATAATTTGGCAGTATATAAAAACATTAAAAAATCTAAATAACAAACAAACACACTACACAATTTAATAATATTTTGTGTCAATATTTTGGTAAGAATTTACATTACAATAATAACTAACAAAAGAATGCTATTTATTGTATGAAAAAAATTTGAATTTGTCTTTCTTTTACTGACAACATTTTTTCTCCAATACAATGAAATAAAATCACCAGAAACAGTTCATTCACAATTTTTTTTTAGTTAACAAGGTTTTTTCACGAAACCGACAAATCAATTATGCCCAAATGATTTAAATAGATTGTCAAACGAAAAATAATAAAAATGTGTAGTACTTAAGTGCTTTTAACTCCTAGCAATTGAATGTATATTGAAGTAACTTTACAGAAAAAAATCAAATGCAATCAGGAATATAGTACTGGCGTAAAATTCAATAATCATTGAAACAATTAATAACAAATGTATGCTGACCCTGATTAATATTCTTTACAACTGAGCACGCCATAGGGTTTTATTAGGAAAATGTTCATAGTAAGTTCATTTTTATGCTTGTTAACTGTTCACACAATGACGACGGAATCACAAACTGCAAAGATATGCTCGACGGAACAGGAGCAAATGGGAAATGTTTATTTCTTGAACAATGTACTGCTGATAAAGGTTACTTACCTACTGTTATCAACGGTTGCATTGTATTATCAGGCTCATTTATACGTCTAGCTTTGCACGTACATTTTCGTATAAAAGTGTCATTCAATACACTTTTAAGAAATTTTTAATACACGTTTAAGTAGGTTGTAACCAAAGAAAATTATGGAGAAACATTAACAAAATAGACGGAAATGTTTTGACAATGACTTTATGTTTTTTTATTGTTTTTTTTTTTTTGTGTAAGTGACTATAGTTTCAACGGCTTTGGCATAAAGCCATACAGCCTATTCTTCATTTTGGTTTCAGTTTTCATTTATATTTTCAGTCTTCATGTGATATCAATAACAGAAATGGTGTAATTGTAATTATAAATAACTTCATTATTTGTGATGACATTCAAAAACTTTTTGCGGTTTAGAGCACTTGGAATTTTCAGTCACTGATAATTATGGTTTACATTGATGTTTCCTGTATATATTTATTCGTGCTCACTTTTATATATTATATTATCTTGAAGGTGTTAGTGTTGGTGGTGGTGATGGTGTTGGTGTAGGTATTGGTAGTGTGTTGTGTTGGTGTTGGTGTTTTGTAGTTGGTTTTGGTGTTTGTGTTGGTGTTGGCATTGGCGTTGGCGTTGGCAATGGTGTTCATGTTAGTATTGGTGTTGGTGTTGTTATTATTGTTGTTGATTTTATTATTATTATTGTGATACCAAGTGATGGGACGAACAAGTCGTACGCCTGGTGATAAGCAGCACACACACGCCTGTTTCCAACAGTTGCAGTGTCGCTCAGAGCTTTAAATCGCAAAGATCTGCAAGGCACTGCCACTGCGACTGTCACCCTAAAGACATAAGTTGAAAAGCATTGCACTGCTTGGCGGCAGAAATAGGTAAGGTTCCCTGGACTAACTCGTTTACAAGGAAATCTATTCCTACTAAATACTGTTAAATTTTATTTATTATATTTTATTATCCACCGATAAATCATATTTATTAGTGTGATACAATATTAGTTACCAAAAAAAAATTTACTCAACAAAAAACACCTTACCTTAGACACATTCACAATTCATTTTTGTAAAAATGACAGGCTTTCATGTATTTAGTATTTTACGTAGACGTAAAGGATAATAGTTTTCATTTCTTTAATAGCTTTTATCAGAACGACCAGGCCAAACGAACGAAAGTGTTACTTATTTATTTATATATTTAGAGAGTGTTTTAAGATAAAAACATTTTAAAAACACTCTATATTATGATGTCCGCAAATAAAAATATCTATGATCGATTATGTTGGCCAGATTTCATCTTAGAATATATTAAAATTTTTTACGACTTTTCTGAAATAAAACTACATTTAAACAGTTTGGCCCTTCAATCAGATCGAAGGTTTGACACTATTTTCAAAAAGTTTGATGTCGTCGCAAAGTTTTTTAGAATAATTAATAATTGGCATTTTACCTTAAATTAATTTCGTTCGGTCTGATGATTACACATATAATTAAAACATTTAATGGCGCTCATATTGAAAGGCAAAATGGGTCTTAATAAATTTAAAAAAAATTCAAGATACATATTCACCTAGACAATAAAGTACATTAAAAAGCCTTAAGCCTTTAAGTAAGTCAAATTAAAAGAAATAGAAACTTAAATTATACACGTACATAATTATTATAATAATACAAAAAGTTTATCATTATGATTTTTATGAAAATAATTGTTCATTTAAATTTGAATCCATAAATTTTTTGAGTTTATAACAAGTGTGATTTTCAAAGTAATTTTCTGTTTTTGCTTGCATGCATATCGTTTCCAGATACAATTAGTAATGTATGCCTTGTTTTAAATTTTTTACTAAACTGATTTTATTTGTTACTAGTTTATGTATATTTCTGGTGTTATATGCCTGATTTCTTCGCCTATGTTCAGTAGTGGACGTCTTCCCTGAAGTGATGACGATGATCTCTAAATGGTGAATAATATGAAGTAGGTCGTAATCGTATTTTCTATCTATAAAGTAATAATTTATGCCAATACATGATAAATTTTCTGAATTAGTAGTACAATTCATTCTTTAAGGATTTCGAGGGTGTATTCTCCGTTCAATTCAAAATATTACGAGTTGTAAACGTTAAGACGTTAACTTTACTCAGTTGTCAAAAATATAAAGCGGCTAAATTTCCATTTAACTTATTATTCTAACAAATCAATAACTTAGGTTCTATTTTACTTGAATACCTACTTGTGTAAAATATTTTGATTTATCTGCTACAATACTACTCAAAACATCGTTTACATACTAATATTTAGATACTTTTGATTATCATAATTTAGGTTCACGAGACAAATTGGTAAAATACAAACGCTTCTTCATAAGTGTCTTCTATTTATCGACAGGGCGTTGAAAATTAGAGTACCTATACTTATTCTTTTGGACGCGACTGTATTCGAGTTTCCATAATTTTTACATTGCACTTGCGACGATCAACAATTCTTAAGTTAAAATTCTAAATTGTCGCAATTCATAAGCACGGTGCATTCGCTTATAGCAAAAGTATAAAGCCTCTCGACGAATGTCATATTAAATATATGTATTTCGTAGCAATAGAGCTCTTTGCGAAAGAGTTCGTCCAGGGAAGTACTGCCACCTTACCTATTTCTGCCGACAAGCAGTAATGTGAGCATTACTGCATTCCAGTTTAGAAGGGTAAGGGTAATGGTGAAATTACAGGCACATGGGACTTGTCAACTTATGTCTCAGGTTGACGGTAGCAGTGGCAGTGCCTGCATCTGTTATGGATAGGCGTGTAGCTTACCACCAGGCGCACGACACGAAAATAATTATGGCTATTTGCAGTTTTATTTTTAAAAAGTTATTGATGTCGTTTTACTCATTACGTAACATACAGGGTTAAGAGCACGTCAAGCTTGACACTCGAGACTTAACTCCAACTCTTTGTCGCTTACGATAACAACGGTCCAAAGTACTAAAGTGTCAAGCTTGATGTGGTCTTGACTGTACTTACTTTTGATATCAGTTAGCTTTTTGATATTTAAGGAATTATCGTCTGGGCACACTTAACGATTACACTCTGTGTACAAATGACGTCTTTGCACAGCCACCTTTTTTTTGTATAGGGACAAAAGCACTTCAAGCTTGACATTTAAGCTTAATTCAACTGCGCAGCTTGTGACAATAACGGTCTAAGGTCCAAAAATTAAAGCTTAATCTCAACTTGACTGTATAAATACAAATGGTTAACCTTTATTACTTCGCAGATTTAATTTGGTTACCAGTTGGCTAGCACGGTAGGGCGCGACTCGCGCGACAGCGACATAAAGCGCAAAATCTCTTTGTGAGTAGAGTATTTCGCGTTTTATGTCGCTTTCGCGCAAGTTGCGCTCTTTCGTGCTAACCCTACTGCTATGAGAAAAAAATCTGAGAGCAGATAAGTAAAATAAATGTTGTTTAATAAAGGATTTTATATAAAAATAAGACTATTTGACACGAGATTGTAAACACTTATTTAGTTTTTATTCATGTAGAATGAGCTTTTAGCTCAAACCCTTTAAGAACCCTACTATAGAAATTCCGTAACACATCAAGCGCCATGTCCACCTACTTATAAATTCCAATAAACCTACATACAATACAATGTAAGTAATAGTGCGTAATATTACGTGATGCGTTGCATACTTTCCTCTCGTTACATAACGGTGGGCACGCCGTGTGATACGAATTTCTTCCTTTACAACACTTCCTTTGGAACTTGTACCTTCGCTCGAAAATAATGCGGATATTTATATGGACGATGTAGTTTAGGTATGTGTGCGCTGAATTCAAATTTAATTGTATGGTCAAATACATGTCTGGTAAATTGTTGGTCGCTTTTTTGTGTAATTAGTCGTGTTCATAAGTACTTTTTTGTATGAATGAACTAGAGCGTTGTTAGTCCACTGATAAGTGTTATTATCTTATAAAAATAATATAGGTAATATTTTAATTAAATAAATGCTTAATCCTTAGTATAATAAGTATTTATTTAATTATTAAACCAAGGGCTTAATAAGGCCACATCTGCAAAATTACAACTTTTCAGGAGAGTGGTTTAAATATTTTGCGAACGAAATTATTCGTTAACTTTTTATACTTAAATAGAAGAATTGTAAGATTTCACATTTGTATAATTTGTTTAATGTAGTTGGTATTATTTTTATGCCTTTCACATGATAAAAGGACCTTTGAAGTATGTGATTAATCACACATGTGCAGAGATTGGCGCCCGGGTTTTTAACTTTGTTAACGCGGGTTTAAATCGGTTAAAATTTTATAACTAAATACGTGTTGTGTTTCAAGTTTATTACCTTTTAATCCAAACGATACGATTTGACTTTCTATTGAATCGATTAGCTTGAAATGAATTGTATTGAAATATATCTATACAAAAAATCATTAAGATCGTATATACTTAAATAGATTTTCATAAACATCAAATCATAATGTACATCCTTATGTATGATAATCCACAGGATTACAAGGTGAGTATTTGGTAAGGTTGCTTTTTTTTCGTCTAACATCGACATATTGACATCAAAATATGTAATAAGTTTGGAATTATACCAATTTCCGTACAACCATTTCACATTGAGTTTTGGTTTTTTTACCCACACCATCCCTGCACTTTACCTACTGTGACTTTATTATACTAAGAGTACATGAAGAGTACCTATGAGATAGATAAGAAATGTAATGAAACTCATGTTGTCTAAAACAACATCTAATTAGAAGATTACTACGTATAGAATTCAATGTGATATTCACAGACATGTCTTTGGGCTGTGCAAAAATGTGTATTTTTTATTGATTTAGATTACCCATTCGTGTTAGTCAAAAATAAAACTATATTCGTATTAAAATCATCTGCATGAGGAAGAACGGTTATGTTGATAAAATGTCTACTTTCACCTACATTTGTCATCTGTGGTCTTAGGAAGATTTTTTCCTCAGCAAACAATATATCGACGCCGGTAAGCGATCTTGTCGTATCTCGAAAAATAGACCTTTACACCAGGGCCGAAAAAGTATTTCAAAAAATTATTTCTTATTGAATTAGTAGAAAATCAATTTTAAAGTATGATGTATATAATCATACTTTAAAATTGACTTTCTACTTGAAATAATTTTTCGGCCCTGGTGTAGAGTCCTATTTTTCGAGATACGACAAGATCGCTTTCCGGCGTCGATATAAAATCAGAAATTACCAACATCACAAACCGAGTAATTAAATTGACTTTGAAGGCAAAATTTACAAAGTGTATTTTTACAAGAATATTTGAATTTGTATGTTTTCATTCTTAAGAAAATGAAAATGTAATTCTATAAACATAATTCGTCTGTTTAAAGATAAAACCGTATAAATGACATTTTCCACAAAATGTCGTTAACTTATATAGCTATGGTAAGAAAATCACTATCTTTCTGCACGTGGAACTCAATAATAAAAAACCTATAAACTCAATAAAAGTTTTATCTGCAGAATGATTGTAATTATCTAACAATAGGTATACAATTTGGAGACTTTTTGTGAAAAATGTCACTTATGTGGTTTTACCTATAAGCAGATGATTTTTTGTTTTTGATTCACAAAATGTAGATTTTCGTATTCGCTGAAAAGTGATTCCGATATGAAAAATCTTTAGCAGTAGTATGTTTTCTTTGCTTCACTGGAAAGTATGAGTATCTACTATCTAGTATACAACAGATTTATATAACGAAATATTGAGCATTTGTCATTTGTGTAGGTGCTTACTAATGATTATTTGCCTTCATTATTGTTTTATTGGAAATGTATCTACCATTAATTTGACGATGAAATAAGATTTTTTTTTTATTAGTTATTTATTAGCTTTATTATTTTACGTTCCTAACAAAATAGACACAGAGAACTCCCAAATACACTTTGTATTTGGGAGTTCTCTGTGTCTATTGGGAGTTCTGTTTGTAAAACTTGTGATTTTTTACATAATATTTTTTACGTAACATAATAAATTTACAAAAATAAACTTTTACTTTTTATTGCACTATCTGATACTTTTAGATCTGTGTTTGGTAGTAAAGTAGTAAGTTCATACGGGCAAGCGTTTTGCACAGAGTTATCATCGTTTCTGTTCGAAAGTAAAATGTGATAAATTATTAAGTCATGGTAACAAAAGCTGTTGTTTGTATTGTCAGTAGAATTGTCCTGAGACGTTGTTAGTATTTTACAAATAACCCTGTACATTGTGAATATACTATAGCTAAATAATAATTCAAATTAGCAGTTTGTAAAGCTTAACTTTAGTCCATTAGTTTAAAAACTTAACTAAATGTGAACAATCTTGAGATGTCTATTTAATGAAATATACATTTATAAAATTATTTTTACTTACCTTCAAAAACAAAATACAAATACCTAGCTTCATATGAAATTCCATGCCTATTTGTATAATATTGGTTTGTACAGTATATATTCCAATAAAAAGATGTATCAAGATTGTTTACATTTAGTTAAGTACCTAAACAAGTGGACTATTAGTCACATAACGAACGTCGCGTCGATGACTAACTTTGTTCTCGGTCCCCGTAAAACTAAACATGGACAGCCCAGATCGGCTTGTAAATGTGATTTACCTATAAAAGGATTTATTGACCACATTGTATCATCAGTACTTAACCGCCTTACGGTTATTTAGGACCAATAAATTTTTCACCGGCTCGTCTTTACTACGTCACAATAACGTGGGATTTAATATGCACACTAAAGTTGCGGTTAGTATTTATAAATCAATCCCAGATACAGTTTCTTATTTTACATGCAATGGGAAAGTACTATGTGATTTAATCATTCAAAAGATTTATCATACTCATAAAAATTGTAAAATTATTTCCCTTAGCCCGGTTTTTTATTGTAAGCTACAAGAAACAAACAAGCTATTGAGCCAGTTGATATGCGATTCTTTTTATTTCATGTTTTTTGTAATATTTTCGTTTGTACCTTTCAGGTATTTCTGGGGTTTCTATGCCTCTCTGTTGTATTAAGTAAATCTGTAGCCCAAGAGGCTAGACCTGAAACTAATACATCGTTAGTATGGAGTCCAGTTTTCAACGAAGGGAGCGAATTTCATACACCAACCAATAAACCGAGTGACCTTCCAACAAACGGACATGATGTTCTGCAATTGGATCCTGTCATGTAAGCCTTTATTATTTCGATATAGAAAATATAATTCTTTCTTACACTAGATCTTCCTACTGGATTTCTAAACAAACTCTATGAAATTCTGGTTCTCAAAAGTTTACATGTTTGCCAACTCGTTAAAATAAGTACTACGAGACTCGATATTCCCGAGATTTTTGAATATCGGGAATATCGAGATTTAAGACGTTTACGAGTGTAATGTATATATGTGTATGTATATATGTGTATGTATGTGTGTGTATCTACTCATTGCAACATTGTATAATATTTATTTCTAAACGTCTAAAAAAATTCGATCATATATATTTTCACAGCGAACGTTCTTCACACGATCATCACCACGGGCACATGGATCCTACATTTAAAGGTTTCTGGACCAAGAAGATCGTATGGAGGCCGCGCTGGGTAAAGACATGGCAAGAGAAAAAAGTGTACATAGCTGTATGGAAGAGAATGTGGGGACCCGTCGTAGTGAAAGAATGGGTTCCTGTTCCGAAACCACCTCCAGGATGGGTGAAACATGACTCCCGCGCCCCTTCATATGTCGTTAAAAAATTTCATGGGAAATAAGTTTACTCATAGTGTTAGTAGGTACAGTTCTGATAGTGTCTACTGAAGATATTTTATTCAGTAGCACTTTAGTCCATATTTAATAGGCTTATTACCAAATACCTCAATAGGATTTGTATTCTTAGCGATTATTTATTGTGCTTAGTCCTTAGTAACACAGGAAGTATTAATCTCCCTGGATGCGAGCATTACTAGGCCGGTCGTTGTGGCAATTTTTGGGGGAGGCCTATGTTATTGCATTTATGACTTCTACATTCACATACATACAGTGTGCACCCTAACTACCTATTCACATAAAATTACAAATCGTCGGAGTGTAATTATGCATATGCATTTTGTATCATTCAAATGTACATACACACCGAATTTTCCAACTGTGATGGGTGGATGTTACGCATAAACATAGGAAAAATCTATGATGATATGATGATGAGATGATATTCAATTCATTCCCTAGCTAAAGGAAATCAGATTTTTCTTTCAAAAGAAACTGTTTCAAATATGTTTCACTTTATTAATTTCGATATTTTGAATAAAGGGCAGGGCGAACGTTGAATGACTGCAATCATAAAGCCGTGCGAATTTTATAACGAATTTACGTAGCTGTTTAATTTCTTTCGTGTCTGTTGATTATTTAAATTTAAATCAGCTTGAATAATAATACTTTGAATAAACTTTAAATAGGACGGACTGATGTTTTATTCTAAAGTTGCCTCTTCCTATTCATCTTTTTTCCCTGTGTGGTACCTTGTAGTGCCAGCGACTCGTTGAATTTATTTTTATTTTTCACAGTAATAGTCAAGTTGTTTATTGTATTACGTTACTTTTACGTAAAGAAAAGACCTTAAAGCTATTACATGCTCAAACATACCATATAAGGGCGCTGAAAATAACTTCATTAATACATTATCTATTTTTCACATGTTTTTCTTTTTAAGTTTTTTGAATGTCAGGATGTTAATATTACTACCATGATATTCAATTTTTTTGTGAAGTTACTCCACTAGTTTGTTATAATTATTATATATCAAACATAGATCATACACTTAGAAATATTCATTGGATCCGGTTGGACTCGAACCAGCACCCTCAGGCAATCCGTGGCATATGCTCAGCAAATTAAGCCAGGGAACGAATCAGACCTTACGAATTTTTCTGTATGCTTCTTGCAAATCTTGTTATTAAATAAAAGTCTATAATCTCAGTACAGAGTACTAAAAAAAACCGACCTCAAAAATACGTGGAGCTACGTACTCGTATAATTACCAAATTTTATTGAAATTGGTTACCGGAAAGTATGCAAACCCGAATACATCCCCTAGTTCACCACTATACGGGACTTGACACAGGAAATATTAAAAATCGGTTCTCACTACTCATAGTATATTGAGAGAAACCTGCCTTGAATTGGAGAATAGCAAAATCAACCATTAAAATAATTGCTCCTTGTACATTGTAAGTCAACGTCGTTATAATAAAATTTTGGCTCTATTTATAAAAATGGATCTTCATGCGTGAACAGCCACCCTTCGAGGTACATGATTTTCTTCAAAATTAAATGGGACCACTATGGAGATACCCTCTTTCCAACAAAAAAAGAATCATGAAAATCGGTTCACAAATACTGGAGTTATCGCGTAACATACATACAAAAAAAAACACACACTCGAAATGAGAACCTCCTCTTTTCTTTGAACTCGTTTAAAAAGATTGTTTTTAGTTTTTAACGATTTTTGCCGTAGCGCCATCTGTGAGAAATGTATTTTTTCACTCAGAGAGCTACCTTAACAGGTACCATCGCTGTCTAGAGATGTCGCTATAATTGTAATTTTTGTCTATTGAATGTCATATCATATTCTACTACCATGATATTAAATTTTTTTTTGTGAGATTACTCCAGTAGTTTGTTATAATTATTACGTGGGCCCACTATAAGTTTCCGGAATGAATAAGAAAAAATATTGTAAAAGAATTTACTGTTTCTTAAAATGTTTCCGTTAGTTAGTTAGTTTTTTATGCCACTCCTCCGTGATAATCTCTTAAACATATTTTTCATACTCTTCGACAGCCTCTTCAGCATTTTTCGTATTTTATATTTTTTGTATTACTCGTACTACATATCCGGCGATGTAACACGTGCTGCAAAAATTATCTAAAGGAAACATCACTGTTTACTCGTTTACCCACATTTATGGTGTTTTTGCAGTTTATAATGGCACAATTACGCATTTTTCGCGTTTTCGACTGGTGTTTATCTACAATAACGGTCGAGCGCGTTCTAAAGTGTAGCAGCGGCAACTAAGTGTATTTCACTTACATTGGGCACGCGAAGTACACTTACTATGTCTGGATATACGTCTGTGGACAAAGTGGAACGATTTCACGCGTCGCCGTGCGTTACTTGCGCGCAGTGAGGCGTCAGACGCCGACCACTCTATGATCCGGGCTAATGCGAGGTTCGTCGCGTAAAGACGCGCGTCGCCATGCGTTGTAGTTGAAAAACATGATGCGACGCGACTCTGCGCCAGTGTAAGTTGAGCCTTAAAGTTACTACTAATTCGTCTTTACATTGTTTGATTAGCGTCGGGGGGAATTCATTGTAGCCAAAGCTTGATTTCCGACTCATTGCAGCTGAAACTTGAATAATGCCGAGAACTTCAAAAAAAGGAGGAGGTTCTCAATTCGACTGTAATTTTTTTTATGTATGTTACGTGATAACTCCGATATTTGTGGAAATAGGGTACCTTCATAGTGGTCCCATTTAATTTTGAAGAAAATCATCCACCTCTAAGGGTACGCATGAACATTCATTTTTATAAATAGCGCCTAAATTTTACTTAAGGAGCAACTATTTTAATGGTTGGTTTTGCTATTACCCAATTCAAGGCGGTTTTCTCTCTCAATATACTTTGAGTAGTGAGAACCGATTTTTATTATCTTCTGTGTCAAGTCCCTTATAGTGGAGAACTAGGGGATATTTCAATAAAACTTAGCAAATAGACGTAATTCCACGTACCTTTGAGGTCGTAGGTTTTAGTACTCTGTATTGAGATTATACTTTATGTAGAGTTTTATCTTCGATATTGGTAAAATAAAAAATATTTGTATTAATTATTAATACAAAGATCGAACTCTCAGAAAAAATTCCTTCGATCCGGTCGGATTCGAACCGACGTTTTCTTGCATACCGTGCCAGACGCTATACCAACTAAGCCACGGAACGAACCAACGGACCTCACGAATTTTTCTATGTTTTCGCGTCGTGTCTTTGTATTTGGTTTTTCAACGACTTTTTAGTCGTAGCGCCATCTATGAAATATCTATGACAGATTTATCACCCAGATAGTACCTTTACAGCTACCAGTCCTGGCGAGAGATGTCGCTATTCACTGTATTAATTAAATTTTTATTGAATTGATATTCAATTATTTTTTGTGAAATTACTCCACTGGTTTGTTATAATTATTAATACAAAGATCTAATAATAAAATGATACAGAGACAAATAGCATTTGTTATTTTTCTTAATCATGCATTGGGAAGTCTGATTCTTAGTACTTTCTGCTGTCATATCTTTTACAAAAACAATTTTTTTTAATATCTCAGCTGATGGAAAGTAACGATGAGGTCTACGATGTAGCCAAACATTCGTGCAAAAAAATTCGTAATTTATAAACAAATATAATTTAATTTACTTATATGCGCAATGATGTAATGAAGTAACATTATATTGTTTTTAATTTCTTTACCATTGAAATTCGCTGTTATTTTTAAAAATATTGCATTTATTAGGTACATAGCGTCTGACACGGTTTGCTAGTAGACATCTGTTCAAATCAGGCCGGATCAAAGGAATACAATTAATAATTATAAGAAATTAGTGGAGTGATTTCACAAAAAAATAATTGAATATCATGGTAGTGGAACATCCTGACATTCAATAAAAACTTAATATTACATTTATTATTAAACTGTTTAGGTTTTCGTAATCATTAATAGGTTTTTATTTGTGTCATGGTTGCAAAATCAAATTAAAAGATAAAGAGTTCCAGAAATAATCTACTTAACTGTATATAGATTATTAGGATTTAAAATTTAACTGCCTCTGTGGCCGAACGGTTACCATCCAGGACTGCTACGTAGAGGTTCCAGGTTCGATTCCCGGGCCGGGAGAAATATTTGTATGGCCTACATATTTCTCTTGTGAGTTTGGGTGTAATTTGTGGTTATCTATGTGTGTGTCCATAACACCCGCGACACAGGGTTTCCCTAGTGCGGGGCTATGTTTAGTGTGCGCTTTATTATTATTATTATATCTAATTTAAACTCTCGCCTCTCCCAAGGCCTTAAAGATTATTATTATTTGCATTATTCTTCTCAGCTAGTTAGCTGGTTTTAAACGCATTTACGGACCGAAGTCAAGTAAATGCAGTATGGCGTGTATCTACGAGTATGTGGTGGGTGTGCAATAAGATACTACTACGTACTCTTCCATCTGCATGAACTTTCTGACGATGCGGCATGTATTTAAAATTACAGCTTTTTGCAAGGTTATGTAGAGGCTTTCTTTACACCCTAATAATTTAAGGCTATAGAGAAGACGATTAAGAATAATGCCTGTTGTGGAAAGAACATTTGGGATAACATACACCTTTTCTTGTCGCCAAATTGTAGACGCTTCATCCTTTAGATCTGCGTATTTACTTATTTTTTCATTTATAGTCTTCTGTATGCTATGTGTGTTGGGAACTGCAATGTCTATTAGGTAAGTAATTTTATTTATTTTATCTTGTAGAGTTACATCTGGTCTATTAAAATGAATTGTCCTGTCTGTGAGAATGGCGCGGTCGTAGTAAAGTTTGTGTGTTGTGTTTTCTAGGATACTTTGTGGTGTGTATTTGTAGTAAGGATTTGTGTCCTGTATGAGTGTGTATTTGAGTGCCAGTTTCTAGTAAATGACGTATGCTACTTGGTTGTGTCTATGAGTGTAGTCTGTTTGTGCAAGTGCTGTGAATGCTCCTGTAATGTGCTGAATCGTTTGTGGTCGGATCGGACACTTGCGACATTTATCGTTTGTTGCTGATGTAGAAAAATTAATAATGTCACGAATTTCTTGACGACCTTTTATTAATATTAACAAAATAATAATAAGGTTCTTAATTCTATTGTGTATCTTTTTTTTATGTACATATGTTATGCGATAACTTTGTGAACCATTCTGATAATTTTTTTTTTTGTTCGAAAGAAGGTCAATAGTGGTCCTATTTAAATGTCAAGAAAATGTTCCACCTCTAAGGGTGGCAAACTAAGGGAATGAATCCGGTTTCGCGCACTTTCCAGTAACCGATTTCAATAAAACTTGGCAAATAGATGTAATTCCACGAACTTTTGATGTCGGTTTTTTTAGTACTCTGTACTGAGATTATGTTATCATATTATTTCACATTCACCGTCAACTTCCATGTCAAGATATTCATTTCTTTAAAAAGTAAGAAACCAAATTTTACACTTGCTTAAATGAAAACTTGCAATTTAACGAAAGACACTGAGGTTTGATAATTAATTTGCTTGCGGCTTGCGGTCGTACGCCTGTTCTACTGCTCTAACACCAAAGACGCTATTCACAAAAGGGACCCGGGAAAGGAAGGGAGTGAAGTACTCGGTATGAAGACATTATGTTTGCTTTCTTTGGACGGTCAATGTTTCTTAAACACATCTGGAAGTAACTTCGGTGCAGGAAAGGGTACAATTATAATTTATGACTTTTACTGCTAGTCTTACCGGTAAATCAAAATCCTTTGTGTATTTGTTCCCAAAATTAGTGTTCGTAAATTCACCCCCAAACTTAATCAACTCAAGTTATTTGGATTTTTGTTGTCCAAAAATAGTTTAAATTTTGCAGTCAGTTATTTTGGACTAGGTTTGTGTTGCGATCCTGGAGTTTGAGAAGTAGACAGTCATGGTGTGTAAAATCTAGATTTACTCGTATAAAACTTATCAAAGTTTTTACCGATAGTATAGGTAATAACATTATACATATTATAATTATAGCTGGCTGCCTAACTGCCTCCATGAGCGAACGGTTATCATGCTGGTCTGCCGCGCAGAGGCCGCGGTTTTGATACCCAGGCCCGGAGAAATATTTGTATGGCTTACAGTTATATGTCTCGTGAGTTTGGGTGTAATTTGTGGTTGTTTGTGCGTGTGTCCATGGCACACGCGATATTCCCCAGTGCGGGGCTATGAGTGTGTGTGTGTATTTATTAGCTGGTGCCCGTGACGTCGTCTGCGTAGAATATGTACATCGAGTATACTAATACTAATACTAATTTCCATTTCAAAAGGCATAAATATTAATTTTCAGATACCTTAGTTGAGAAATTATTGGTTTTACACACAAACCTTCGTCCCTTATTTCGCCCACTTTAAGATTTATTTTTGGGATAAAAAGTAGTCTACGTCCTTCTCCAAGGTCCCATCTATATGAAAACGTAACAGACGCACTTTTACATTAATAATATTACTTTCGATAATGATATACAGGGTTATTTTTAAAATACTAACAACCTCCCAGGTCTATATTACAAACACCATAATAACTTTGTTCCATAATTTAGCACAAAATATAATAGATTTACCAGTAATCACCTTTTAAGTTTTTCGTGCACTCTCTAGCACTTTTTAGATCTGTATTTGGTAGGAAGTAATAATATGTATAGCTCCTCCCGCTCCTCTCCTCCTCCATAAAAATATTTTGGTGGTGGGTTTTATTTTCGTTACGAGTTCTCGCGCGTCCATTGGAATGAAATTTATTTAGCATTTTATTAACTCGAAATTATCTTTAAGAAATAGGTAAGCTAAGTATCGTAACATGCGATACTTATCTATTTCTTCCACCAAGCCGTAATGTCAGCATTACTGTGTTCTGGTCTTGAAAGGTAAGGGCACTCGCGCGTCGACGCTTCGTTACTTGCATGTAGTGAGGCGCCAAACGCCGGCCATACTGTTGTGCACTAATGCGAGGGTCGTCGCCCGTCGACGCGCGTCGCCAGGCGTTGTAGTTGAAAAACAGGACGCGACACGAACGTTGCGACTCTGCGCCAGTGTGAGTTGAGCCCATTGTTATACGGCTTAGGCCTTCTATACATTATCATCACACCGAGCAATTGTGCACACCATTTCCGTGTACAACATTCGAGTATCGATACGTCACTGTATTGGCATAATGTGTATTCTGAGAGATCGCGTTACAAAAAACACGCGACGAGGGTGCATCAAAGGGACAGATTATTGAAAGTCATGGAACAAAATTTGTTGTTTATGATGTTAGTAATACATCCTGCGAGGTTATTAGCATTTTAAAAATAACCCTGTGTTAACTAACCTTGGAGCTATAATCGCTATAAGCGATAATGGTTGATCAAAGAAGCGGTGAAATTTTTTTTCAGCCCTAATATGGCCGTGGACACACCGCAACGCGTTCTGTCGCTTACGTCATCATCGCGGACTAAGCGTGAATCTGGTCTCGCTGACGAATGTTGCGTCAAGCGCTGATACAGCGAAATTCTTAATTACTGCTAAATCTGAAAAATACCATGTTCAGGTATACCTATGTAATAATTATATTACTTACTGGAGTAAACCCTCAGGCCTTATGCGATGGCTTTTTAATTAGCTTTTTATACATGTTCTTAGAAGTAGCAAAATATTGACGTTATTGTGTACCTAAATGCCATCAATATTTTCTAGCTTTTAATAAAAAAGCATTTTTTTTAACAACTTATTTAGTATTTTATTTCATTGGTTCCGTTATATATCGAGTTCTTAGGTTCCGTTATAATTTGAAATAACTTAATGGTAAAGAATAAACTTAATAAAACTTATCTATCAATAGTACACAAAGAAACTGACTTTGGAGTTCGAGTACTCATATATTACATTCGGCACCACACGCACAGCTCCATGATTTTGTACGATTTTCGATGTGACTTCAGTCAACACAAGAATTATCAGAGATAATTGGCATTAGGTGATGAAACCCTATGTCGCAGCTCCGTGTATTCGTGGTTCAGTGAATTTAGATGTGGACGTGATCATCATCGTGACGATGTACGTGAAGGTCAACTTAGAGAGTTCCGATTTACATGCCCGGAAGCGGCGGTGAATGCGTTCCACGGAGCCTTTGAAGAGGTCCCTACGGAAGACTGGCCCTACTATTTTTCACAATGGTTCCAACGAATGCAAACGTCCGTGTGAATAGTGAAGGCATATACTTTGAAAAACAACAAATCTATTATAAACATAATATGTGATCTGACTTATCAGAATCTAGAAACTATCAGTGTGAAATATAATGTTAGTATTAGGGATATCGTCTTTCGCGAATAATCCTATTTATAAATGAAATAAAATTTTGATAAAATGACGTTACACTAACTGTGGTTTGTAACATGATTATTTCAAATGAGTGTTAGGTAAATGTCCCAGTGGTTGTCGATTTTAGACGGAAAGTCACGAGTTTTGCCAAAAAATTATCTGCCATACCTACGACCTAAATATATATATATATTTATATATATATATACATAATTTATCTATAGGTATGTTTAATATTAATAGTAATCATAGCATAATTAAAATATTCCAGTTTTGCGCAACCTCTAAAATTGTAGGTACCAGTGTATGACAGACAAAATATCTAAAGTCCCATTAGTTGGCTAGTGAGATCAGTAGGTGCTAGTATTTGCCAGGACATTATGTTAAGATTTTGTGGTTATCTGCGTTGATTACTACATAACTATAAATTTAAAGAAAAACAAAAGCCAAAATCAAGCAAGATGCTTTTATTAAAATTAATAAGTACATCTACAACAACATTGCAAAAACTTAACACAAAAATGAAACTTAAATGTCTCACGATCATATCATATTTTCATATACCTAGTTTTAAATAACATTAAAAAAATATCATCTTGCAACGATGAAAGGATTCGTAATCCCTTTAGACACTTCATCAATTGCCTTCAATACATCATCTTCCGAATAATGTAACACCCTTGGTGGCATTTTGTCATTGCACAATAGCAATACCTTCAGGTACCAATAGTTAACACTAGTTACGTTCTAGCGTTTGACACCTCAATATATACGACTGTCAGGCATTGGGTACCCATAGTAAAACAGTTTTTGACACCCATGTCAAACACTACTCAAACTACCCACAGAAACTTGTCACTAACAGAATAATACAAAACTACATTCTCACCAAATAGTCGAAATTACGTTTTAAAAAATATTTATTTGTTCGAGTGCTTGACATGGGTGTATGAATGTAAGTTTATATTAAACGTTCGTTATATGAAGTAAATTGCTATAGGTATTAAATGATTTTGTGGGAAGTAAAATTATGCCAATTCAGCGTTATGTGAATACTATTTACATGATACATTACCCACTTCTTTACATATTATTCAAGTTGGGCTTATCCTTTGAGCTGAACATTACAGACTCGAGATTTCATGGCAAATTCGCGTTCTAATCGTTAAATACAATGGCGGTTGACCCAGCTACCCGTTAGCTTTTGACTCAAATATTTACACCCAGTGTACAGTTTAATATCAGAATTTACTTATTTGGGAAATCGCATCGTGCTCTGTTTGGTCTGCGCGGGAGAATATTGTTGTGGCGTCTGTTGCTGCGGCGATGATTGTCTTGGAGCCTGAGCAACAGCTACTAACTTTTGACTTTCTGCTGACTTAGTGTCACTTCTGTCCCATCCGTGTGACTCATGATGCTCGTGATGATCAGGAGACGGGAACCATTCGGAGATCCATACTGGTCGCCAGATCTTCTTAACATCAGGCAGCCATATGTCTTTCCACTCACGTGTCTTGATGGGCACCCAAATAGGCTTCCATATTAACTTAAATGACGTTTTCCAGATTTCTTTCTTGGCTTTTTTCCAAGTTTTCTTCCAGCCTGGCTTCCAAATAAGTTTCTTTTTCCAGTATCCAGGATCATGGTGCTCGTGATGGTCATCATGGTGGATTACCTCGTGGTGGTCTCCGCGAGAATGCAAGTCATCGCGGTCTTGAAACGGGTTGACGAGATCATGAGACTCTGCGGGGTAGTCGTAACCGATGCGCTTTTGTGCTGCAGCCTGCTGGTTTGGTTCCAACTGTTGTTGTCTTACTTGTTGATTTTGTTCTATTAATGCCTTTCCCGACACTAGAACAATTTTACTAATTACCGCTAGGGTAATCTGAAACAAAAGAGAGACGAAATATGTTATACTTATTATCGAACCCGAAAATATCAACGCACAGCATATTAAGTAATAAACACGCACAGCGATATACCGTTGTACTTTGGGTAGCCCAAATTTTTTTTAAATATAATTGTTGTTGATGAACTGTTTGATTGATCTAGTTATTATATTACCTATATGTCTAGTTTGACGTTACATTCTGTCACCGTCACTGTCTAACTACGACTAAGTACAATGTAGGTAAATTACACGATTACATGAGGAGGCGTCGCATCGGGTCGAAATATCGTGAAAATCATGTATTTCACTAACAACATTTCACTCAAATACTTGCTTAAGATTATATAGAAATTAAAGCAGTCGTATCGCAGTTTATTGCGTAATAATTGAATCGCGAAAAGAAAGTTGAAGGCTTGTGACCAGTCCAGCCTCGGTGCGGCGGATAGGTTGTGGCGGCGACGTACTTCGAGGGTCTAGACACATTTCCGGAAAGTTTTATAGACCTCGCAATTATTTCCCTAATGAATCTATAGGAAAATCAATGAAGCGTCAATAGGAGCCTTTAAAGAATGGGCTTCAAAATCCACATCTGTACATAATACCGGCAGTATTCCATCCACTAACATATATAAGTATAACATCCACTAACCAAAACGCGTGTTCGACTTGTTGAAACTTACCCTAACGATGCGAATTTGAAATATCATTAAACAATTTCAATATTCCAAAACTTCTTTTTTTTTTATAATTATAATATATATATTATAATTATTTTATCACTTAACCGCTTTTTAGTTAGCGGACGGCTGAATATATATATATATATATATATATATATATATATACCTACTATTACAATGACTACTCCAAACACTATATTAAATTTAATAATTGAAATTACTAAATTAAATAAATCATATTACATATTAACTTGAATTTTATAATTGGTTCGCTTATCGTTTATGCATTAAATTTGACGTTTAACGCTTGTTTGTTAATTCAATATAAAAACCTATTGCAATCAAAGTAAAACCGAGTCTATATGGCTTGCTTGCAACCATATTAGTGTCCTGCGAATTTATTAATGCCATCGCTTATGTTAAGGAGTGAAAATTCCCCGAGAAAGTTCATCTGGTTCATTAGCGCAATTCGCACTCAGGCTAATAATATGACACACACACGGACGAATTACGCAATGCGTTATGAAACCGAGGATCGCCAGTGGGGACAATGGCGATTGGTGTACACTTGTCTTGTGCGATCATAACCTAAAAGAATTGTTCAAAAGGAGCACACGCAAACGGCCCTAACAGCTTTTATGACCATCTTTCAGAGTAGGTACCTGACGTGCAAGAAAATTAATTATTGACTTTGATCTAGTGGTCCGTTTAACGAGATGATAATACCGATTTCATATCTGGATTACCTCCTGGTCATAACAATATATAACAAGTGGTGCTTTATTCGAGGCCATTTCAATGTTGGGCACAACATCGTAATATTTACAATAATTTTTATTTAATTAGAAAAAAAAAATCACTTAAATTGTGCAAGCAATGATACGTTACTCACTTAACATATGGTCTGTTGTCCCTTTTACGTGCCCATATTATTTGAATTTTAATAACCACAATTTTTTTAAATTTATTTGAATTTTAATAAAAACAAGATCGTGGATTAGTGACCCGACAACAATCAACAAAGGTAAGATCCGTTTCGCGTTATGCAATTGTTGGACTCATCACTAGTACTTATATGAAGAAATTACACATTTAAATGCTGTTAATTTTGCCACAATGGCGAGAATCGAGGCGGCAGAATATTCTTTGGCGCAAACAAAAAAGAATACCAATGTAATTGTTAACAAGAAGATCAATGTAGACACCGTTCAATCGCTCCTGCAACGCGTCTTTTATTGTACAGTGAAGTTATTAATATTCCAAAGTGTGACTTCCGCGTAATTGTGGAAAAGAAAAAAATATCTCTCAGCGCTAAATATTCCTTTTTTTTTCGGGCTGTAATTGTGATAAGCTTTGTCGAAATAGCTGCAAAAAACTCGATTTTAAAAATAGTCAAGCCAAAATGCCTTCAATCAACCTTAGAAACATAATTATACAATATGATGAAAGAAAGTATAGGTTATAAAATTTTAAATAAATGTCAGAATGTTTCACCAATTTTTTTTTTTAACCAATTCAATTTTTTTTTGTGAAATTACTCCACTAGTTTGTTATAATTATTAATACAAAGATCGGTTCCAATACGGCCCTTTTAAGCGTTCGATCTTTGTATTAATAATTAAAACTATAGGTTAATTACATTTGCCTAATTTGAAAAAAATTCGCTGGCTTTAATTCTTACTAATAACTCCTTACCGTGAACTGCATCACATATCACACTATACCCAAATCGGGAGAGTAATTTAAAAAATGTATTATCCGATTCGTTACGCTGAATGAAGTTTTTAAAACACTTACCACTAGGTTCCAGATCCCTCGCATGATGGGACGGGGACAGCTGTTCCTCTAGCTGAGACGCCGAAACTGTTTTTACTCTATTAGTTTACCTTGAGTGTGGGCTTATATAGCAGAGCAGGCCCACCCCATGCTACGACAGGTGGGGCGAGCGCGCTCGCTTTCACTCACCCCGATGTGTGAGCCTCGAAGGCTCGCAGGAAGCGTGAGAGCGGCAACGGAAGGATATACCTGATCGCTCTTGTAGGTAATCGCTTCCCACTGATACATCTCTTAATCGTTACGTAATCACAATTAATCGGATTTCATACACATTGTAAATACTCAGTCTCAACAATAATTCGTATTTGTAATTATGCAAAGTGATAATTGTAAGGATTTCCTGATCCAATAATCGTTCACATAACATTCGAGAAGAAATATTTTGAAAAGTGATGGCTAAATAGCACATATTTAAGTTATATTTTGTGAGTTTCCCTCGAGTAGCGCCCAATTTTTTTAAGCTCCGCACTAGGAAGACCCTGTAGCGCGGATGCCTTGGACACACACATTGACAACCACAAATTACACCCAAAGTCACGAGAAAAATAAATGTAGGCCGTACAAATATTTCACCCGGCCCGGGAATTGAACCCGGGACCTCTGCATGGCAGCCCAGGCAAGTAACCGTTCGGTCAAAGAGGCAGTTATTTATATTATTAATGAAAGTACAATATAATACGTTTAGGGTTACAGGAGTAGCTCGGAGAGCCAATATAAAAGTCAAAAGGGTGAATCAACTTTTTTTATCGACACAGGGCTATCCCTAACATTAAAAAAAAATAAAAAATCGGCTAACATTTTTGTAATTAACCTAAAAAGTATCTATTTATCCCATTGTCACTGTACATTTACAGAAAAAAACAAATTCTCTCTAATATAGTACTCCATAAACGTAAATATTCTTGAAAGCTAATCGTATCAAATTATTTGATTAAGTATGAATAAAATAGCGTAGTAATAAAAAATAATAGTCGAAGCATTGTTTTTTACGATTTTATGTTTGCTAAGTTCTGGTAACGCACTGTGACACAGAGACAGTGAATAAATTTAACTTTTTCATAAGTTATTTCGAAATGAATTCTTAAGGTATAAAACTAAGATATGATGACTATCGTAACATCAATTCAAAATAGTATTATATTATACCTTTTTTTTTTCAATACATTCCACACAGTGTTGGTAAAAAATTTTATTCTTTTTCGTTTGACACACGTAGCTACTAGTTTGTGTACACTGAATAGTTTTATCTTCACTACCCAACGCCAAAGAGTCAATACTACGAGGTTACATCCGGCTAAAATCGTGTGTTTAAAGCCGTGGCTTATAGACAATATCCACGTTTTAAAAAAATTTGCGTATAATAAAATTAGTATGCTAGCTTTCAGTTTAGAAGAATTGTCGAGATAATAAGTATTAGGGGTTAAAGTATGAAATTGCCGTTTTATTGCAATAGGTTC